TCATTCATGGAGGGCGGTGGGGGAATTATATGGAGGCAAAATTTTGCCCAATATGTGAACTTTTCCCCACACTACGACTGTCCAAAGGCAGAATAGTCTATTTTATGAAGTAAAAAAGACCTGCTTCAAGATAATCCCAAAAACTTCCTTTCAACTCAGAGTCTCTGGCTACAATGTTTCATTTTTAATAAGGTTAAAACACCAAAGCAGGACTTGCTGCCATCAGTGTGGGGGGATGGATTCTTTTGAATAATATGGAATCCTCTTTACTGGTCGGAAATGGGCACTCAGGCAACAATATCAGAGAAGCTTTAGGGTCAAATCCGGTTTTTCAATAGGAGGAAAATACGAAATTATCAGTGACAACTGTATCAGATAACCATTTTCTGTAGTCAGGATGTACTGGAAAGGAGAATTAGCAGGACAATAGCACCCCCAGGGACCCCATTGTTCTAAAGGACCTTATACAGAAATCTTCTCCTATCAGGCAGGCTAGATTTCAAAGGCTGTTCTTAAATCTGTTTAGTGCAAGTGACAGTTTCCACACAATCTCCAGGGACCCTCTAGGTTGCAGACAGCACCAACTCACTTTTGCTCTGGGATGCACCTTCATTGTCAGTCAGGGCTATGGTTTGAGTGTCCCTCAAACATACATTGACATTTAAGTGTTGTGTGATAGTAGTAAGAGAAGAGAGGTTCATGAACATCGGCCTTCAGGAATGGCCAAGGCCGGTCTCTCTGGAGGGACTTGGTGATAACTGGATGAAGTTCAGTCCCCATTCGCGTTCTTTCTTGCCTGTCTGCATGTTCTGGTGCATGAGGCCCTGGACAGGCACAGGTGCCTTGCTCTGGCACTTCCCAGTCTGTGGTATTCTGTTGTAGCAGCAGAAAGTGACTGAGACAGCCAGGAAGTTCAGAGTGTGAAAAACAGGCTTCTGTCCAGGTGTCAGACTCCGAAATGATGGGAGGAAGCACCTGTATTCTTTATGCTTCTTCCTGGCACTTCTCAGCACTACATTGATGGCTTTGATGACACATTTCTATAAAAATCACCTTCAGCTTCTGTCCTGCTCCAAATTAGAAGGGCGGGGAGAGAGTTGTGAAGGCACAGTAACCCTGAAAGTGCGACCCCACACACACACACACACACACACACACACACACACACACACACACACATACACACATACACTTGAGGTTGGCATAGGCTCTTCTGCTTCACTCTAAACTGCAGAAAGCCCCGTGACAGTCTCTCTGCTTCCTTCAGCCAGAGCCAGAAGTGCTGCAGCCTGACACATCAAGTAAATTGAGATGGTCTCAAAGCCAACAGGCCCTCTCTCAGTATTTGGGGCGGAAAATAGTTTACTTGTTACATCAGTGATTTTTGATCAGTTCCTCTCCACTCATCAGCAAGGCTCCTCTGTGTCTAAAAGCATGCGACATCATCTGTGTTTATAAGATAGAAACTGGAAAGATGAACTGCCAGGTAAATGATATTGACCTCTGTTTAAACGTCTACCTAGTTCTTTGCTTTAGAGCACAAACTGCTGCTTCAGTCGATCTCCTCATCATCTGTTTTGATTCACAAAAGGCTTTATTTAGTCTAGAGTAAATTCAGAAAATCTATGCATCAGTGTTTATATTAAAAAATACATTAAGAAAATGGTTTACCATATGGGTAAGTGCCAGGGCCTTCAACTACTCTCAGAAACAGAAAGGAAGAGAGGAAGGAGAGAGGAAGAAGGGGAGAGAAGGGGAAAGAAGGAGGAAGAGAGAGGAGGAAGAGACAGGATGGGAAGAGAGAGGGGAAGGGAGAGAAGGGGAAGGGAGGAGAGGCAAGGCCTGCAGTTGGGGCTGAGGCCATGTTTGCTTCCCCCTCCCTTCATTCCATCTCAGATCATTCCAGGGCTCAGTAGAGTCAAGGAATCTTCTTCTCCCAAGATCTTCCCTATATCTACTTACAGTGGGGCCTAAAGAGACATAAAACCTTCTAACTTCCCAGACCTTTTGCATTGAATTAGTTACACTATTGGGGTTCTGAGTGGTCAAGAAAGGTGCTGGGAGGTGAAGTGGTGGAGGGAGAAGACAGTCCTGCCTGTTTGGTTCCCTTTTGGGTGTGACTGGCAAATTGCGTATGTACCACACTTTGGTTTCCTTGTCAGTTAAATTAAAAACAGAAACTCCTGGGGGTTTGTGAGGATTAAATAATATAATAAGGCCCCTTAATACAGTCCCCAGCACATGGAAAATGCTCAAAAAAACTGTTAGGAAGCAAAGAAAAAAGAAAGGGGTGGATTCCAGACATCCTGTTTCTGAAAGATACTTTACACTAGTCTGGTGAGTTACAATTTTTATTTCTTAAACCTCAAAGAAAAATTTTTTTAAATTTTTAGTTGTAGATGGATACAATACCTTTATTTTGTTTATTTAGTTTTATGTGGTGCTGGGGATGGAACCCAGGGCCTCACACATGCTAGGCAAGTGCTCTAGCACTGAGCTACAACCCCAGCCCTCAAAGAGAATATTATGAGGAGTATTAATGTGTCAGTGAAATACAGGCTGAGCCGAGCCTGGCTGGGGAGAAGTGCTCTGTTAGTTAGGTCTGCATCACTGGAATGAAATACCAGAGGCAATTACTTACAAAGGGAAACGCGTTGTCTTGGCTCATGGTTCTGGAGGTTCCAATTCAAGATCACATGGCCCCATTGCTTTGGGCCTCTGGTGATGGTGGCACATCATGATAGGAGCCTGTGAACTGCTCAGATCATGAACCAAGAAACAGAGAGGCCAGGGTCCCACCTGGCCCTTCAGGTGCATACCCCCAGTGACTTCCCAGGAAGCTCCACCCCCTCCCAAGAGCACCACCCTGGAGAACAGGCCCTTCACCCGTGTACCTTTGGAGGATGCTCATCCAAGCCAAGGGTTCTCCTTGTCTCCTCCTACCTCCACTCTCCTAAGGAAGCTGAGGCATCTGACACCTTTTAGAACAGTTTAAATACTAAAAGTCTGCTTCCAGCCACCTTTCCATTGATAAAAGAATGATTCAGAAATGTGAAGTTATGTTTCCAGTGATAGCACCGGAGTTACGGACCCATTGCTATTCCAGACTTTCCCAACAGCCAGAGAGAAGGCACAGACAGGACGGGAGTACGTGGGAGTATGTGACCAAGGTCTTCCAGAAAACCCTCACAAGCCCCAGAGCTTCCGTTCACCATCTGTGAACGATAGCCTTTTGGGTGGCCTGTTTCCATTTTCTTGTTTATTTTTAACTATTCCTAGTGTCACTGAAAGCATTTCCGGTGAGGTTCCAGTACCTTCTAGCAGCCTTGAGGACAAATAGCAGCTGTGCAGGCTCCCAAGAAATCTGACTGAAAACTTCATCCCTTCTCGCACCCCCTGTCTTTGCGGTCGGTGGTCCCGGCTGACACTGTATCAAATGCTGTGCCTTTTCAGTGTTTTCACCCTGGGGGCATTTTACTTCAACCTCTGGTCCAGAGCGTTCTTCCAGGCATCCTAGCGCAGTTCAAACATGTAAACAACAAAGCTGACTCAATGAAAGTTTGGAGTCCATGTAGTTTCTCTCTGAGATAAGGCGGTGTTTGTACAAACAGCCTCAGACTTTATTTGGAAAAGAGAAAAAATATAGCACAGTTTATGCTGTCACGCCATTCCTGCATGCAGCTAGTCTGCATTTAGGTCACTCATGTGTCTTCATGTTCTTGTAGGAAGTTTAAGGTTCTTCTTATTTAGTTTTGGGAAAAAAAGAAGGCTGACTTGGGGGTGAGAGGGAGTTTGGGTTCTTACTTGTCATGAGAGTGGCCCCGGAGGCCTGGTATTACCTGGGCTTCTGTTACTTTTGTGTGTGTCCATTTCTCCTCTGGACTGGGGACTCCCTGAGAGCACACCCATCCTTCATGCCCCTCTCTGAGGTCTCACTCCCAACTCACTCCCAAGCTCACAGATGGTGCTTGCAAAAATATTCATCAACTGACTATCCATGAGACTTCCCATTCACAAATCAAACATGCTGAAAATCTCTGTTATTTGGGGGGCCCGGTCTATATGAGAGGAAAATGCACATTCTTAGAGTATTCTGTTGATTTGAAAATATATATAATTGAATAGAAGAGCACTATTAGAACAAAGCTAAAAAGACCCCTTATGGGAACTGTAGCTTTCAGTTTCTGGTCCAACAGAGGTCAAGAGAAGACACAATGAATTCTGTAATGAATACATGTAAGAAGAGTAGCTAATATTTATTGAGCATTTAATAAATGCCAGGCACCCATCTAAGAGCTTTGTGAGACAGATCTTGTTTAATCCTCATATCAGTCCTAGAAAGTAGGACTTTATTATTCCCACTTTACAGAGGTGGAAACAGAGGCTGAAGTCACTGGCCCACAGTGGTGGGATTTGAACCCAGGTCGTGTGTCCAGAACGCATAACACCATTGGCAACTGAGCAGATGAGAGGGGGAGGGAAATGCATGCAGAAGGAAACTGTGCTCTTCCCTCAGTAAAAATGCAAAAGACCCTGCACCTTTTCTTTCTTCTCAGATGATTTATTGAAGACTCTGGTTTTCTAGTTTCTGAGTTTTGGAGAAAGATAGGGAAAAGTTAAGAGAAAATCTTCAGTGTTAACTGTTTTATTTCTTATCCTGATGTGACAGAGAATTTTATGTCACTTTGTTTTTAATTTCATTAACATTACATTTCTTCAAGTTTATCTCTTTTAAGCTACAATAAGCATTTCACAGATATTACCAGGTGATCGTTAGTATGGCCACACAAGGATGTCACCAGTACATGTCACTCCCATTGGAGTGGAGGGTGAGACTGAGGCCCACCAAGGCAAGGCCACTTGCCTGTCAGTCACAGAATGGACACTGCTCCATGATTGGATTAGGCCTGAGTTCCTGTCCACTGGTAGCAGAGTCTCATGCTGAGCATCAGTGTTTTGTGTATTATGAAGCAAAGATGAACCATTTTGTTCTCTTCCAGGTTTGCAGATGGCACCTAGGAGATCTTGACTTGTCCTGAGGAAGTATTGTTTTACTGGATTTACTGTCCAGCTGTTACCCAATTGACCATGATCCAGCCAAACTCCGTTGATGACCCGGATTCCAGCCCTTACCCGCTATGTGTGGTTTGCGGCCAAGCCCACTCCCCCGAGGAAAACCATTTCTATACCTACTCTGAAGATGTGGACGATGACCTTATCTGCCACATCTGCCTGCAAGCTTTGCTGGACCCTTTGGACACTCCCTGTGGACATACCTACTGCACCGTGTGCCTCACCAACTTCCTGGTGGAGAAGGACTTCTGTCCCGTGGATCGCAAGCCTGTGGTCCTGCAGCACTGCAAGAAGTCCAGCATTCTGGTCAACAAGCTGCTCAACAAGCTGCTGGTCACCTGCCCTTTCACAGAGCACTGCTCGGAGGTGCTGCAGCGCTGTGATCTCCAGCACCACTTCCAAACCAGGTCAGTCCTGCCCTTTGCTAGCTTGCAAACTCTTCTGAGGGGATGCAGTGGGCTCTGTCTCCTGAGGGACAAGGCTTTCAGGGCGCTGGGTGCCCCATGGGATGCTGCTCCTCTCTTTTTCTTTGCATTCTTTGCATTCAAGAGAGATGCATTCAAAATAAGAAACATTCTAGGTGTTTAGGGCTGAGAATCAGTGTGAAGAAATGGTACATGGAGAGTTGTGTTGTGTGCATGTATGTTTATGGTTTTTCTTTGAAATTGTGTTAAAGTATATAGAGCATAAAATTTACTATTTTTAACCATTACTGAGTGTGCAGTTAAGTGGCATTAAGTGCTTTGTGCAGCTATCACTACCGTCCATCTTGGGAACTTTCACATCTTCCCAAATTGCCACTCTGCACCACTGAATGAGAACTCCCTGTTCTGCCTTCCCCGGACCCTGCAGCCGCCCCTGTACTTTCTCTGAATTTGACTGCCCTTAAGTACCTCATAGAAATGGAAACATATACTACTGTCTTTGCGGACAAGCTTGCTTCATGTCTATGTTTTGAAATGTGAAAGATACTGGAAGGAGCTGCCGAGAAAAAGATTTCCGGTGGGCATGACTTCTTTTTTTTTTTTAACCTTAGGGGGAAAAAATAGCTCCCAGTTTCACCCAGGACTATTAGAATTTCCTCTACACTAGAATTGACAATTGCCTAACTGAGAAGATAAACTTTGGCCCTCCAGGAGAACAGGTTCTGCTAACTTTAGGGCCAAGGAGCCCACACTGTTGGCAGTCTTACAGCTGCTCCTGCTGCTGGTGGCTGGCATCACCTACTCCACCTGTCTGCCACTTCATTGTCATGTTCTGGGCAGTCCTTGTGGGAATGGCCTCACGGGCAGGTGGCCCTGATTTTTGTTCCACATGAGGGACTCTCCTAGGACATTGAGGGTGCTTAATCAAGGGTGAAAATAATACCACAATTATTTTGTAAGAGGAAATTTGGTGCCTGGTGTTTATCTTGGATTGGATTCTGCTGTGGCCAGAGCAAGGGCAGGTGCAGGTATTCTTGTAAAGGTCATTTGCCATAGGTCACAGATGTGTCTTTGTCTTTTGGGTCATACATAAATTCTCTAACATGAAGATTTGTATCAAAAGCAAGGACCTGAGCATGATGCTTAGCTCATGTTTCCCATGCTAATTATGCCAGTGAACTCATTTTTTGAGCCAAATGCTTCTTACTTGGGTTTGCAGGAGACAGCTGGCTATCTGCAAATGCTGGGGTGTAGACTAGAATACCCCACCTCCCCAATTCCCCAGAAGAAGAGTGGCCAAAGGAGAAGGAGGAAGGGGATCTATTTGTGACCTTTGCTGGACATTTTGCCTAGGTATGAAGGCACCCAGTAGATGCTGACAGGTGCCGGTCCACACAAGGCCAAGACCAGGACCACACTGGGTGGGAAAGTGAGGAGCATGAGGAGAGAGAGTCCTGATGGAGCTCCACTGCCCACACCCCATCCCATTCCCAACACGTTGTAACCTGCATATTTGTGTGGGCAGTGGTATTAGTTCCTTGTTGCTGCTGTAACAATTCATCATAAATTTGTGACTTAAAACATCTCAAATTTGTTAGCTTAAGTTCTGAGGGTTTGGAGTCCAGCACTGGCTTTACCAGACCAACCTCAAGGGGTTGGCCCAGCTGCTTTCCTTTGGGCCCTAGGGAAGGATTCCTTCACTCACGCTTCCTAGCTGCCTGCCACGGCTTGTGGCGCCTTTGACCATCTTGAAAACCAGCCACACCGTGTCTTCCAGTTTCTCTCTCTGACCCCTGCTTCTGTCAAGATATCTGTGACCCTGACCTTCCCACCTCCCATGTGGGGCCCCCCTGGATCACCCAGTGTAGTCTCCTCATCTCCTTCACTGAGTCACTTCTGCAAGGTCCCCTCCACCCTGTGAGCATGATCCTGTTCACAGGCTCTGGGGATCAGAAGGTGGACACCTTTGGGGCTCGTCACTCTGCCCACTCCAGGAGTTACGAGAGAGTGAAGGAAAGAAATGGAGGCCCTTTCTGGGGAGAGAGTGAAAACACAGCTCTTCCTCATGCCTTCTCAAGAGCTGATTTGGGCTGAGAGTGAGCCGAAAAATAGGGGTGAGATGGCACATGGATTTGAGAGTGAGGCCAGGGAAGAGGCTGGGAGGAGGCTGTCAGACACCTGTGGAGCTCCAGGGAGAGAGGACAGCTGCCCCCAGCCGAGCAGAGAGCATGCACCACCCACACAGCAGCATGACCCTCACACCCCAGGGAAGCTCGGGAGAGAGCCCTGCCCACCTGCCGCTCAGCTGATAATGATGTGAACATCAGGAAAACAGCAGCGAGGAAGGAACCCCAAACTGACAGAAATCCTGTCACCTCTCTGAGCTGTGGCCAGAGTCCTTCACAGGTCCCCGGGCGGCTCTTTGGGAGGGGGGGGGGACAGTTCCCACCTCAAGTAGGTGTAGGCCTCAACATCTACTCTTGAACCTCTCCACACTCTGGCTGCCTAAGTAGGTCAAAGCCAGCATTTCCCAAAATATACCCTGTGTGTTAGTCATCAAATGCTGAATGCACCCCCCACCCCTCTAGTCCCTGGACACTTCATTGGCAAGAGCTAAGAATCTGGAGATCACCTAGAACCTGACTCTGGATCCCTCCTGGGCCTTGACCACCTCTTCCTCCCTTAAAGGAGAGAGTAAGGAGGCTGTGATCAATATCTCTGCAGCCCTTTGAACTGGGAAGCTAGGAGGTGCCCAGGGGACCTGCAACTTCTTTACTTTTCTATAGGAAGCCTCCAACCTGCTAGGAGTATTGTCATACACGTGTGCTTTTGTTTATAAATTTTACATTTTCTTTAATATCATTTTATTCAGTAAATAAGTTTTCAATGTTTATTTTTTTCATTGACTAATACAAATTATGGTGTCCAGCACCGTGTTATAAAATGTGTATTGTGCAATGGCTTAATCACGCTTCTTTAGGTGCATTACCTCACAGATTTATTTATTTTTGTGATAGAAACACTTAAAATCTAGTCTTAGCAATTTTCAAGTTTACAGAGCATTAGCAGTGTTAATGTGGATCTCTTGAACTTACCTCTTCTGCCTAACTGAAAGTGACCAACAGCAGGCTTGAGTTGGGGTACAGGCAGGCAGCATGGTATTTTTAAACAAATGCTGCCTGTTTTCTCCAGGATTCATGTCATTTATAAACAGTGCTGTCTCCCTACTTTAGAACCTGAGTTGAATATAAATCCTGAGCAGAACCTTTAGGCCTGGCAGTGGGTGTGCATGACTGGATGGCTCATGGGCTACATGGACAAATCTTTTCGATTTCACACTAGAGAGCTCTTCTCTGGGAGTAACCCTGAGCATGTGAGCTAGCATTTGGAATCTTCTGGCAAATTCTGTTGACTTCTACCCTCTTAGAAGCTTGCAGACTCCCATGACATGGGTCTTCTGCAGGGAATTCCCAGCAGGTTGATAAGTTTGTTGAGTTGAATGGCAGCTTCCTAAACAAAACACACTGCCAGGGGACATAGTGGGGCCAGTCCAGAGGGTCCAGCCAGTACATCTTTCTCGATGCAGACCATCTGTGAGACAGAGCATGGTGGCAAAGCTTTTCCTTCCTCCATCCTGATTGAGGCTCATCCTGGGCCCTGGACCATATCTGCCTTGTGTAATACCATCATCTGCATTTATGATATTTATCAATAATCCATACTAGGCCATGCTCTGGATGAAAGAGAAATCTACCCAAGCCATGATTTCTGCCTCTGAGGAAATAAGCTTTTAAAGGTAAAGAAGCTGAAAATGCACAGACATTAGGTTGTTTCACAGGGCAAGTCACATTGCACTTCAATTTCTCTTATTCTCTAAAAAATGAGAGATAATAAAGCTGACCCTCCTTAAGTACTTGAATAAAAAGATCATTGTTCAGGGTTTTGAAAGGAGTGGGGGATGGAAATGTGATGTAATTGGCCCAAGACACACCTGGCTGCAGGTTCTCTGAGAATATTTCCTTGATTAACTTTGCACCCAATGTCCTGGGAGTTTCCTTCTCCAAAGTTCTGCCTGGAACCTGCGTTGACCTTTGCCCTTTTCTGAAATGTGTTCAGTACAAGCCGGGCTCAGGCAGCTCTGTGGCAAGGGGGGATTTCACTTGGAGGAGAAGAATTCTAGGGGAGAATCGCCCCTGGACAGGTTGGTGTACTTCGAGTCTTAGTCATTTCAGCCTGGCTGAACACCTGCACGACTATTGTGCTTCGGCACACATGCTTACCACACCTCCTGACCATGAACCCAGCCTCCTCTTGGCCTCTACCTCACCCCTGTGCAGTGAAGAGGAAAGAAATAAGAAAACAGGAGGTGATGGGTGATGTCCAAGGTGACATTTAAGGATAAATAGGACAACAGTAGGGGCTGTTTACTGGCAAGGAAGCCAGAGAGCACCCCGTGATCATTGGATTATGATCACTGGAAGGTGGGGCTTTAGTCCCAGGGTATTGTGCCAACTGGGATTACACCTGGTGGGTGATGGTGCATCCGGGTTATATGGGTTTAACCAGGTAGCGGTTTTATTTTTCTCATGTAACACCAAGTGTTTTAGTCAGCTTTCTTGCTGCTGACAAGAACAAGTCTAGGGGAGAAAAAGTTTATTTGGGGGCTCACAGTTTCAGAGGTCTCAGTCCATAGACAGCAGTTTCCAATCCTGGGGGCTTGAGGTGAGGCAGAACATAATGGCAGAAGAGAGTGGCCGAGGGAAGCAGCTCACAACTTGAACAGGAAGCAGAGAGACTCCACTGGCCAGATACAAATATATAGCCCAAGGCCATGCACCAGAGACCCACCTCCTCCAGCCGTACTCCACCTGCCTTTAGTCACTACTCAGTTGATCCCACCAGGGATTAATTCACTGATTGGGTTAAGGCTCTCCTAACCCAATCATTTCTCCTCTGAACCTTCTTGCATTGTCTCACACATG